GTATGTATCAGAATGCACATTGCTTGTTGAGATTCTACTTGCACTGCATTGTCCATTCAGTCCTTTTCATCACATTGCGGATCCTCGGTTTCTATATATATCGCCCAACTGGGCATGTAACATCTCCTTGGGCTATCCGCGAGGGGCGGCTGACAGACTCAGATGTTTTAGTCTCGTGACGCCGGTCGGTTTGGTGTGATGGCAATGATCGAGGCTGCGGTCCCGTTATCTTCATCTTCCGTTCCTTTTGGGATGGTTGAACAGTGTTGTAGACCACATGCAGCCGAGTTGCTTGAGAACGGATGAACGAGGAGGTGAGGTTTGGAGGGATGGGGGTGCGTTTAGGGATTGTAGAGGGTTAGTTTGTGTTCTTTCTCCTTATGCTTCGTAGCCAATCACTGTTAGTATTAATGATCAGATTAAAACCTTTGTATATTCTGATGAGATTCCAATGCTTGTGATTCCCAGATTGTGTTGTTTTGCTCACGAGAGAGTTTTCTCAAACTTCCCTAAAGTCTTTGAGAATTTGGTTTCTTCTCAACTAACAATTGTGATATTCACGATCATTTTGAAATTTCCTACACCTCTGGCACGATCATATTTCTAGTCTTGTTGGCTGTTGTGAGTCTTTTGTCTGAATTACTTCCTCGACAATGCTCTTAGCTTGATATTTGTAAATCTGAAGTTGGACACCTCGGTTCTCTTAAAAACGAAGTCCAAATCTTAACATTATCTCAATTGATTTCCTGATGATTTGATGATAAAATTCAAGAGGTCGGTCATCTTGGTCCCGAAATTTCTAGTTTCTGTGTGTACTGATTTCAGTCTTTGAGGATTGCGAGGAATATGAGTGTGAAGATATACAGAAAACCAAGTTGAGAAATGACACATATGTCCAGGACTCCAGGTAGTCGTGTCCAAGCAGATAGCACAAAATGCACCCAGAAAGCATCCGTATAGAGCAATACAATGAATTAATGAGCCAATGTTCAAGCCCGTAGGCCACACCAACACACTATCCAAAGTTGCTCCTCTCTGTGTGGTGCCCAGCGCCTAGCCTACTCTACCCAACTATCCTACCTACAGGTGGTTCATGCAACAGGCTCAACTCAAGTCTTGAAGACCAATGTACATGACTGTCATTACCATAGCCGACCTGTCTTCATGTACCAGGTACGTATCTCGTCACCCTCAATCAGACCTTGATTACCCCACACTGCGCCTCCTTCGATGAAGACCACCAGATCGCCCGATGTACCCCCTGGCGCCCAGCAGCCCGACTATGGCTGCCTGCGCTCCGCTTCCCTGCAGCGCCCCTCCTCACCACTACACGCCCCGTCAGCGCCTTTGGCTGCAGCGGAGCATCAAGTGAGAGCGCAACATCACTTCCTCATTGCCTGCACTGGCCAGCATGGCTAGCCTCGACTGCCTTCATTTTATTTATGGAAGTGGCAGCCTCCTGGATGGTGCGTGTCGCCTGGCTGGAAGCTTCCAATAGCTTCCGGTTGGAACTCAGATTCTGCGCGGCTGCGCCCAGGCCCGAGACTATAGTTGAGGGTCTGGGCCCCATTTACAGTTGGGCACGGCTTGAATCTCCGGGCTTGGGCTGTTTGCTGCATCTGTGAGTAGGTGCGTCGACAATACTGCTTTTTTGTCGGCCGACGACCTGCTTCTCAATGTATCGGCCCCGCTTTGTGTGTAAGTGCCCAAGCGCAACTGTCCAGGCCTGGGCCAACTGTACGACGCAGCTTAGTAAGAACATGTTATTCGTTAAAATAGGACATTATACTGTGTCCTTTTTTCAACGAATTCATTTGTGGTTGCAGCCTAAGCAACGTAGGCATGCCCATCCAGGGCTTAACCACATGCAGAAGCGTGCTGAGATCCGCACTTGTGAAACTTTATAATTGAAATCCCAAATGCGGAAGCGTGTAGAGACCCACACATGTTAGGCACGCCACCCGTGAACCCTGTGCGGAAGTGTGTTGGGATCCTTACTTGTTGAACTTCCTGTGGGGAAGTGTGTTGGGATCCATACTACTCAAACTTCATAAACGAATAACGATTGGCATGCCACAGAGGGAACCCTGTGCAGAAGTGTGCCGGGATCCTTACTTGTCAAACTTCAATTTCATAAATGTGATGAAAGATATTATATTGTGACACTGTCCTCTTTCTTACGAATTCGTTTTTGACTGCAGTGTTTCCACATAGGCGTGCCTATCCACTCGGTCCAAATGCGAAAGTTTGCTGACATCCATAGTTGCTGAACTTTGTAAGCAAAATTAGCAATGTAATCAGATTGAATTGGAGAGACTCGGTATAATTCTTTCGGTTATCCCAAAGTTACACAAGCAGGTTCATCGTCTTGCTGAAGATGGTTGTTTAGATGTATGATGAGATCCAGACTTGTTTAGAAGACTTGTGACCCTGACAATGGGCGGGAGTGTGCCGAGATCCATACTTGTTAAACTCAAAGCTTAGGTATGTGATGAGCAAGGTGTCATGATCGAACCATTCTTGGTCAACACATCAAATTTTCGTTTACCAGGTTATCCCTAAGTTATGCAAGCACACCCATCGTCTCACCCGAGACGATTGTTTGGATGTTGAAGAGATTCGGACTTCCGCATATAGGCACGGTTATCATCTCGCCCGACATGAGGGCATTGAGGAACAAACTTGTTTACAGTTCTGATGGGCAAGGTGTATTTTAATAACCATTTTATTTCGATATTCTATGTACAAGTGTAGAACTTTAAATTGTGCTCATTCACGATGAATATCCGCACTTGAAATGGTAATGCAAAGAAGGTTTGGGCATCCACTGACCAATTTCACATAAGATGACATTTCTCATGCATCCACCAATCAGTCTCACTATCATGTTTACACTTCCAGTTGGACAAGTCAATCAAATCCATCAAAGACAACGATGTTCTAAGAAACATGATGTTAATTGTCGTCTAAGAAGCGGAATATCTTTATAAGAGAACCGGAAAGGCGGTCGATCTCCACGTTGCAACAATGTCGCATACATCAATATGAACACCCCACAACTTGCTCCATCCACATGGCTCGGAACTCCATCCACCACAACATTTCCTACTAACGACTTCCAACTCCTACCCGACCGCCTATGTGATGTTTGACGTTCCAAATACTGCACAATCAACCCGAAAACACAAAGGTAAAAACTAGAATCAGATACAACGCGAGGAAAATAATCAAAAATTTCGAGAACATTATCTCTCATGTTGACGGAAAGGAGGATCCGGTGATCATCATCTTCGTGGACAGGAACGGAGACAATATCGTAACGAAGCAAATCTACGTTTCTAGCCCACCTCCGCACCCCACAGTGTCCTTGAAGTCGCAGTTTACTGAAGAAGAACGAATTAAAGCTGAAGACTTGAAGGCCCGATGAGATGTCACGTGACCCACATGCGGTTGACCCCAACAACGCCATATAGAAATTGACCACCTCATCATTCACCCTGCCGTCAACATGCAGTAGGGTGAGGAGATCTTTTGCTGCAATCCGAAATTGACAATCGCCCAGTATAGAGAGAACAGTGTGAGACGACAACGAACCTCGTACAATGTCGTCCAAAACCCGCAAGCTCAGAGGCTCAATCGCTGCAACAAAACTTTTCCCGCGTGCTGCACTTGCGGCCCGCACTGCACAACATCGAGCAAAGGACACGTGGGGTAGTGAGAAATGGAGTTCTAGGCATTGTCCCCCGGTGCATGACGCGTTGCTAAGTACTTATCATACATGGCCTGACCCCTACTCACAGATCGTGGATATGTCCCTTTCTCTGGGGTAAGAAGGGAAAGACATTGCTCAATGGCAACGGTGTACTCCTTCTTCCCGATCTCGACATCAACCCCTGATGCCTTTAACATATACTTGTGTTTTGTAGTCAACCCGGGGACTTTCTGCAATATGTGCTCAGGATATTTGGAGGACCTCCATGTTCGAGACGACCCCACCCCTGTACAACAGAAGAAAGACAGAACGGAAAATGAGAACCATACAATCGCACAGACGCAACAGTCAAGCAGGACCTCTCCGACCATAGGACCCTGATTCCGCGTGGTCATGTGCACCCAGGTGTGGTTGTGCTATTGGAAAACAAAACGATTGCAACATTCGAGCTTAACACCCCCGCACTTCGCAAAGGAAAACCACCACAACTCACAGAAGCCAAAGGCCAGCAATCCCAGAAGTTCGGACTGCGGTGGACTTTTCAATACACCAGCCTCACTGAGACAGACCACATCACGCATCGACAAAGGAAGTTCGGATCCCGGTGGCAAAGGGAAAACCTTCAGTCCATCTACTTGGCCACTTTCTTCGCCCCTTGGCCACTTCCGCAGCCGCGGCAGATCCTTCCTTGGATGGAGTGTAAGTTTTTCGATGAACTTTTCGCCACCCTCGACCAGCAACCCGGCCGAGTGACAGATAAGCTGACGAGATGTATTAGGAAGGGCTGGTGGCTGTAGTATGGCGGCATCCGGAACTTCCCGTATCGACAGACAGTGTGAACAGTCGTCGTGTGTACAGCGTGGACTGTAATCCGACGACATCCGAACGCGCAGACAATGTGGCGTTCTTCACGGCTTACCAATCTGTTTCTCTCTCCGCTCCTTCGATGGGGAATTTGGCGCTGGCAAAGTGAGCACGTCGAGAGCTTGACCGCCGACCCTCGATTTTTTTGGGGATGTGACATGTTGTCGTTCCCCGACCTCGCCTTCCTCTCCGGCGGCAAGGGTGGCCGGCAGGACCAGGGACTTCGGCGGCGACGAAGCAAGGGCAGCTGCCACGGAAGACGTGACGTTGCCAGTTTCGTCGATGTCAGGCGTTGTGGACGAACGGGCAGACACGTTGTGGTCGCCGAGGATACAGTCGATAACTTCGTCGATGCTTATACGCTGACTTGTTTTAGACGGGCTAATAGCGACAGAAGCCTCGTCGAAGCGGTGTTGCAAGTCGATAGCAGATGTCAGTGATCGGACCGCATAATCTTCAGGCTGTGCAGAAAGGCTGCTAACGACCTGTGTCTTTATCTCTATTGCTGTGGCATCGTCGTCGACATCATCCTCGTGATGCTCTCCGTACAGTTGTTCGAACTCGTCAGACGACTCTCCAGATCCGGCATCGTCCCCACTGTGCTCCACTTCTTCGTCTCCAGATCCGGCACCCTCCCTTCCTTCAAGCAAATCAAGTAGCTCCATTTCTCCCGCTTCCTCCCCTTCCTCCTCTTCTTCCGCTTCTTCCTCCCCTTCTTCCTCCCCTTCTTCCGCTCCCCTCCATTCCTCTATTTTCTCCCCTACTTCCCTTCCACGAAACTCATCCCCTTCCGCGGTACCCGTGTTGAATCCCGAGGACCGCTCTTCCGTCTCCGTGCACGCTGCCCCTCTCAATGGCACGACAATCCCTGACCGACACCCCCCGCCCGAAGAAGTTCGGATCTCAGCGGACTTCGTCGTCTCCGTGTCGCCGGACCCTGTACTTGCAGCCTCTCGCTGCAATCCTTGCGGCTGTCGCTCTTGCTCATGCAACACCTTTCCGACGTTTCCGTCCCGCGCCGCAATGCTGCCAATTTCGGGATCCTTGCTTGCCTCCCCCGACCCCGAGCGGCTTTGCATTCCGGACCTCTCTGGCGGCTCCTCAACGGACGTAGTTCGGATCCCGGCAGACTTCAATTTTCCGCCGGAGCGACTGCCTAGAGCAAGCAAGGCTGCCAACGTGTCCCTCGCTGAGCCCACGGACGAAGTCGGGAGGTCGGCGGACTGTGTCGTATGCTCCGGCCAGGTGCTTGTTGACGGAGCCCGGTCGACGGCGAAACCCGCCACCCCGACGCTGCCTCCCGGTGTCGTGTTGCGGCCGTGAGACCGCCTCTCCCCACTAGGCGAGATTCCTTTGCCACCCCCCGCGCCACCACCCCCATCCCCTCCACTTCCAGGTGCCCCCCCCCCCGAACTACCGTTCGGGTCATTGGGAGGGGGCACTTTCCAGTCCACCACGCCCTTCGACGGACTCGTGTAGAGGTCGTAGTACTCCTCCGTCAATTCCAACCAGCACTTGTCCTGAAGCTCGTCGAACAGTCGACCGGTTGTGGAAATGAGGGACAAGTCACCGGGTGCAAAGGTGGCATTCTCGACCGTCACTTTCTGGAGGACCGAAATCCTCGCGAGGTGCAGGAAGTTGGACTTCGACTCGCATGGGAATGACACCCATCACGCGCCCATGATTGCGACGGCCATGACCCACTCGCCCTTTCGTATCGCTGGCTGGATGACTCCTGGATGCCACACCATGTCATGGCCCCATTCCAGCTCAGGCGAATGGCGTTGTGGCTCAAGCAGGAAGTGGATGTGGTCATCCTTCCAAGATGGATGATCGGGCAGGTTGTCGGACCCGGGATGCAAAGCGGGCGGGGGGACGGCCTGAGCTCTGAGTCTCTCCAGCAACTTCATCGGCGTGGTGCCCGGCGCCGGTCTGGCCGACGGTGACACGAGGGCTGCACCGCTTGGTGACGGACCGGCCGACGCGGACCCTCTGCCGTGGTCCGCCGGAGGTGGGTCGTATTGCAGGTCAATACTCTCCGTGTCGCTCTCCTCCTCCTTCGCGTTGGCGACGAACTCCACACCTGTGGCTTCCTCGTCATCAGTGGAGATCAGGGAAGCGTAACTGACTAACTTTAACTGCTCATCGGACTCCACGAAGTACAGCGACCGCAGCCTATCCAGAAACGTCGTCGCGCTCATGTGGGAGGCGAAGTGGTAGTTGTTGAGCAGTGCCAACATGTGGTCCTTCCGGCGGATGTACTCGGCGTCAGAGTCCTTCCTCGGCCGCGTTTGAAGGAACAAGAAATCGTATATCTTGTTCCTCTTCCTCTCGCTCAACTGCAACCACATATCCGTCTTGTTGCTCCACACCTTATCCCGTGTTGGCTTCATGACCATGAACTCACAATTGTGCCCGCCTGAACTGACCTCGCTTTTCACCACCTGCATCGTGAATTGCAAGAGCTCGGCGTTCCCTTCCATCGCGACAATGTGTCGGCCGACCTTCAGAAGATCCCAGACACTTCGCGCGTGCGGTTTCCCAAGGAACACGACACCCTCTCCCTTCTTGCCAAGGAAATCAAGAAAACCTACGAATTGTATCGGATTGCGTTCCATATCCCGGTAGACACTGCCCAGTCGTTCCGGTGCCACCAGCGACCAATCACAAGGCACAAAGGGAATCTCGGACACATCCATCTGGGTGACCCTTTGAGGCAATCGCACCGCAGCAGCGGCACCCCTGGGCAGGTTTCCCTCGTAGACCACGAACGTGTTGGCGCGCAGATCGTCACCCTTGAAGAGGATGTACATGCGGTCTTCCTCCATGTACAAATTGTTCCCAACGGGGAAGCTTTTCTTTTGCTGAACTCTCCTCACCCACTTCCCTTCCAACAGCTTGACGAAAGAAAAATGGTGCATGCTGGCTAGAAACGTGAGGTTGTGCTGCCGCGACACGAAAACAACGAGAGTCCAATGCGACGGAGACCACGTATGAAAATAAGACTCTAAAGTCTCCCACGCTTGGGCCTTCCTTCCGTAGTTTGAGGGCAACTGGCTCGCACAGATCGAGGACGAATGTGTGGTTCTTTGTTACAGCCACTGCTTCCTTCAGCTCTGCGCCCCTGATCTCCGCCTCCAAAGGGTCGTTAGCGAACGACGCGATGGATGTAACGTCCCCCGTGTCTTTCCATTTAATGTGAACAATGCTTTCGGCAAGGGCAACCTCCCGGCTCTTCAGTCTGCTCCCATTCAACACGGAAAGAACCTTGTTTCCCCAGTCGACGGACAACTTCTTGTGGCCCGCCAACTTCTCCGTCACCTCAATCGAGTTGTCCTGGTCGCAACCCATGTACGGCGGGCAGTCCTTGAACAGCGCCGAGTCGAAAACGTGTTTCCTGCTGTTATCCCACAACTCGTCATCCAATCCCCGACTTTCAAACTTCGTTAACACAGCAGACCTCGATTTCAGGAAAGGGTACCTTTGGATCCAATCTACGTCCGGCCTCTTCTCGTGTTTGAATTGGTAGTAATTCCACAACCGGACCAACACGCGGTCGCACTTCACCAGCTGCACCATATCCTGCACGCTGAGCTTCCCCAACTTCGCCAACGACGGGGAGTCGGCCTGGACCCAAACGACCTCGCAAGCAAGCACCTTCTTAAGAACACGACACTTCTCATTGTCCGTGAGTGATTCCATTGCTTTCCAACAATGTGCGTCCGGGTCGGGCACTTGCACGAACCAATCGCCCTCTTCTTTCTCCTTTTTGCCTTTCTTATTTGGTGGGTCCACGGGGACGTTGTACACCACCTCAGTTTTGCCCAACTTGTCGTTGTGGATGTAGGCGACCCCAGGCTTGACATTTTTGACCTTCTTCTTTTTGACGATCCACTTCGCTCCGTCGTGGCTCAACAATCTACCCGTCTCCCATTTTTCAAAAAATTCCACGGCCAGTTTCCAGACATTTTCTCCGGCCATCGCGAGAGGGAAATAAGAACGTAGGGCAGCATTTTGTTTCTTAAGGGCCTTCTCTCCCTTTCATCCGCGAGAATCCACAAGCTGTTGTGAGGCGCCTTATGGAGCGCCGTTGTACAAAACTTACGCCAAGCCCGAACCTGATCCTGTTTCCCGCTAGGGTTCCCCATCATAGCTCTCGGGCAGCCGTCATGCTTCCACTGCCACCGAATGTCTTTCATCGACAGTTTCAACTGTCTTGGAGGCGCCTTCAGATCCTTCTTGTTGTCCTGTGAACTAACAAGAAAATACCCTTCAAAGTCGTCGTCCGAAAAGTAAAGCATTCGCGCCTCGAAATTGTACTTCTTGGCCACCTCGCTCTCGAGCAGCGACCGGGCTGCAGCCGCGTTATGCTGCCCGCACACCTCGTAGTAGTAGTATTCTCCCGCCAGCTCGTCCTTCCACTCCTCCGACTTCAGACGTTGTGCCTTGGTCCCGGGAGTTGGTTTTTAAAGCCCCAGTGGTGCGAGCTTGAAGATCGACAACTCGTACATCTGCTCTTTATTTTCGAACGCATGCTACATTGCTTCTTTTATCGTTCCCACGAGGACAGGATCCAGCGACCGCTGGTTGTAAATATCCTCCCACTCCCCGAGGTCGACGATCTGAGCCGGGCTAATCTCAAACTCCCACTTTGTCCTGACGCCGTCTTTGTACTCCAGGAAGTTCCCGGCGTTCACGTCGATGGCAGGCCTTGTCGTGGAAGGTCTTGACGCAGGCTGTTTTTGTTTTGAAGCCGTACATTTGCTACTCGGGTGGTCCTCTTCCACCCCCCTTCCCTTCCGTTTCTCTCCCGTAGTCTTCGGGGTCCTGGTCTTCTGTTTCTTCGAAGAGCCTACCAAGTCCTCTTGACAATCTCCCCTCCTTTTTTGGGGAGTCCCCTGCGCTCCCTCACCGCCCACGGCCTTGTCGTCCGCGCCATGGCCCTCGGCGAGCTCCAAGTCGGACCCACACTGGACTGCCTCCTCTCCGGTATCCGCTACGACCTCTTGTCGAACCGGGGTCTGTAGCCGGACCCCAGGTATGGACAGCACGGACCGGTCTCTTTCCCTCGACGGTGAAAACGGCGAACACGGTGTCGCCTCATCTTCGCTGTTGTCAAACTGACCTCTGGCATCCTCCCGCTGCACATGTGTAGCTTGGCCGGAACCCAGATCCCCCCCCTCCCCCGCTGCCTTGCTCGACTCACAACCGCCGCACAACTGCAAAGGCATTGACAATTCCAGGTCGGGACCGACTTCGCAAGGGACGTCGAGGGCGATGTCCTTGTCCTCCAACAAGTCGAAGAACTCTCGACCAAAAACAAACCCGCCCTGCCGTCGGAGATCGTTGTAGAACAGGGTGTTCGCAGCACCCACTCCGAACCCCTCGAATAGACACATGTCGAGAACTGCCCCCTTGGCACCGGCGATGAGGTTCCCCTTCAAACCGTACACATTTTTCATGTAGAACCGTCGACGACTGCCTTTCGCATTCTCCCACCGCAAGACAGCCCCCAGAACCCTGCGGCGCTTGTTGGCTTCGACGAAGATCACAGGACCACACGGCTGTTGAACTGGGTTCGAAGCATCACCACAACACCAGTCGACGAACCATTTTGACCTTGCGTGGTCCGACCACGACCTCGAGGTCGTAGACGAACGTTTTGTGGAATCTTTCCCTGATCCCATCCTGGAGGTCGCTGCAAGCTCCCCCTGGCCCCTCGACGAAGACAACTTATTTGCGGACGACAACGGAAAACAAATGAACAACCAGAGAGCGTCAAGTCGCAGACAAAATACAACACAGGCAAAAAATACGGGCGGCAAACATTGCGCCCAACACGTTGGTCACATGACGCCGTTCCACGACCTCGAAGTTCGGATCCTGACGAACTTTAGACGCGAAGACCTTTAATGACCTCTTTTCTGCAACGAGATCAATCTTTAAAAAGGAACACACGTCATGCAGTCGGGGCAATAACCACATCCGTATTTTCGAAACACAGATGCCGACCACATGGGGAATGAACGGGAGGTCATGTTTGAAGCTCGCGTTGGACGGGGCGGTGTCCTCCGCTTAGCACTCGGAACCCAGACAGGCTAGCACGCGAAGTCCGCCTGGGTCCCAACTAAAAGATGGTGCGACAGAAAGAGAGAAATAGCCAGCCCATGTAGCCAGCGTTCCAGAACCGTGCTCGAGCGAACATACTCTGCAACTGCATTTGATCAAAACCAGAAGTCGGAGACAGACTCTCCCCGTCGCCGGACGGGTTGTGCGAACCACCGGACGGGCATATCCGAAGACAAACCAACGCACCTCCCGAAAAGTGAAGTTCGCCGAAATCCGAACTTTAGGACGATGCGACAGGCAGAGACGGCGTCAGAGACACACGGTCCGTGGACTCAACCACAACCTGGGAATGCCACACAGACATGAGAGGCCGGTTGAGAAGGATAAGTTCGCCGAAATCCGAACTTCTTCTGATATGTGCAGCAGCCGTGACAACATTGTATGGGTCCCTGGTGGGGCAGAACGAAACGTGTGGAGCAGGGCAGGCAGGAGCTGTTGTCGCAATCCACGGGGAATCAGGAAGACCAGTGTCTGTCCAATAGATAGGTGTCACAGGAAGTTCGCCGGGATCCGAACTTCAGGACGCTGCAAGAAAGATACACAGAGAGAAACACTGGATCACATATGAGGTTGGACGCAAGTTGGGGTCCGAGCAAGGTGTTGGTGGGAGAACCCGGGGTCTCACAGCTGACCGCAGGTTTTGATGGCGGTAGTCATTGAGTCCGTCTATGCTCAAAACAGATCCAGATGCAACAAGGGGGTCCGTAAACCGCGATCTCTAACGGGTTTCAGGAAACACGAAGCTCGCGCGACCCTGCGCTCATTCGCAACTGGGATCCCTAAGAGTGCTTTTGGCATTTTGCGACTGGGATCCCTAAGAGTGCTTTTGGCATTTCGCAACGACAATGATTGACTGTTTGGCACATGTCGATGGTGGTCGGGCGACAACCGAACACGGATAGTGTTTCTGAAGTTCGGTTGGCGGTGGTCTCAGATCGCGAACGTCGGCAGGTGGAATTGGTCGCATAACCTTTTCGAAGGCCGCGGCCTCAAGCAAGACCGTGCTCGTGGTGCCCGATGGTTCTTGCGGTCCGCCCGACGCCAGCAGTACCAAAGACAAATCAACACACAGCCCAAAACGCGAAGTTCGCCGGGATCCGAGCTTCGTCGGGGCGCCACATGGAAGAAGACGGCGTCATAGATAGACCTCCAACATGATTTTCGTTGGTTGTTGAACTGATCGACGATCAGGGATTTGCACGACAAGTGCATGGTGTAGCGTCTACTCGCAACTGTTGCCTCTCACACCTCTCTCCACTGCTACACATCTAATACTATAGGCAATAAAACAGCATCTCATACCTCTCCCTTCTTTTCCCTTAAGCACCAGGACCGACTACCAGTTCAGATGTGCCGACATTCGGGGTTTCCCGGGGACGACGTCGTGAACCGAAGCCATACAAAGCATTCATTGATGATCCGTACACGTGGATCTGCGGTTCGTCTACCGATGCCCTCTCCGAAAAGACGAACATGTATTTCATCCTAACAAATACTCCCGGTCGTGCTAAGGAATTCCCTATACAGTCCCGTATATCGGACACTTTCTCCTCAACCTCACGATGCAACGAAAAGTTTTGGACCCGCCCTATTATCACCAAATCGCGCCACCCATCTACACATTCAGGCCCGCGCGTCCACACGAATTTGGACCCCTCAATCACCACCTCGTTCCGTGATACAAGCACAACTGCATCGACGAGTTTCCTGCTCTTGTTCGAAGCAGCGACACATAGAACTCTGGCGAAATCAGTCCCGAACACAGTCAATCGCACACAACAGTATGACACAGCTTGTGGAGAATTCCCGGAGCGGGTACTGCTCTAGGAACGACCAGTGGCGAGCGCAGTCCACCAACTCTTGTTTCTACGGGCCTCCCCAAGTTCGTGGCGACGACCTGACGTAGTGGCACTCGAAGCGGCTGAAATGGCGGCTAATGCAGCCCAGTGCTCTGCGCATATGGTTCAGGAACTTGTGTCCGAGGACGGCGTCAGACACCGGGATGAGGTTCCCGAACTCCAACATGTTGGCGAACTTGTACTCGCTTGCCCAAGGACATCGACTCTCCATCGTGGCCCAATTCCCATCGCACCAACCGTCAATATGTCGTCCCATGCATGCGACGACGGTCATCTAGGGGTTCTCATCGAAGTCCTCTGCGGTCGCTCCGTGGATCGTAGTTACACCGTTAAAATACCGCACGGATCTCACACAAGGACAAAACGGTTATGCCAAGCGAATGTGCGTCTCGAAACTCATGGTTAATGGTGTCGAGAACATCGACTCCATGATTCGTGGTGTCGAGAAGGTCGCCTCCATTACGCACCCTGCACACCACGCGCACATACCAAACGAGACACACGGGCACGAAGACACTCGTAAACACGTCGTGTTTCGCGATCTGCGATCTATGGCATTAGACGGAGCGCACGCTCGAAGATCTGAATTCGGGTGGTCGACTTCGTTGGTGTTCACTTTTGTCGGCCAGTAGGCCAGCCGCAAACATGTCCCACGAGAGGCGGGAACCTCATGTCCGCCGTGATCCGAACTTGGCGAGACTGCGCGGGAGAGACAAAGGTGTCTCTCAAACTCGCCGTCCCAAACTTTCTTGAAGTTCGGATCTCGGCGGACTTCACATTTATACGAATCCAAAGTTGTGGCAATCCACTGGGCGCTAGAAACTCCACAGTCAGAACCCACACCACCCGAAAATTGAAGTACGCCTGGGTCCGAACTTGACGACCGCACGAGGAACTGTGCACGAGAAGTTCGGATCCCAGCGGACTTCGCATTTTATCGAATCTGAAGTCCGCCCGGATTCGAAATTGACGACTGTCCGAGGAACTGTGCACGACAGGTTCGGATCCACGGCCCAGCAAGGGGGCCGGAAACATGAATTGCGAAAGGAGGAAATCTCAAGTTCGCCGGGATTCGAACTTGGCGAAATCACGCGGCAGAGACACTGTCGGCGAAGTCGACGATGGGACGAAGAACCGTGCACGAGAAGTACGGGCTGTGGTTGCGGGCAGTCAGAACTCGGCGAACTCGGCAATTGACCGAGTAGCCGTTCGCGAGAAGTTCGGATCCCAACGGACTTCAAGTGTTTACGAATCCGAGGTTGTGGCAATCCCCCAGGCGCCAGCAAGTCCACATTCTGAACCCAAACAATGCGAAAAGCGAAGTTCGTCAGGGTCCGAACTTGACGTATGTGCGAGGAACCGTGCAGGAGAAGTCCGGATCCCAGGGGACTTCGCATTTTCACCAAACCAAAGTTCACCGAGGTCCGAACTTGACGATTGTACCAGGAACCTTGCAAGCGGGGTTCGGATCTATAGCCCAGCAGGCGGGCCGCAAACATATCTTCCGAAAAGCGGGAACATGAAGTTTGTCGGGATCCGACCTTGGCGAAATTGCGTGGGAGAGACACACTTGTCTGCCAAACTCGCCGTCCAACAATTTCTTGAAGTTCGGATCCCGGCGGACTTCCAATTCATACACATCCTCGACTGTGGTTGTGGGGCGGGGTTGCGGAACGTGTTCGAACAGGTGCACAAGCTCGCCGGAATGCGAACTTCTTCCGGTGTTTGATTGCGCGATCAGGTCAGTTTGATTGCGCCATCGGTTCGCCAAAGTTCGACGTCCGACGAGGTTCGACGCCTGCCGAGGTTTGATGTGAAGCCAGGTTCCATGCCCAACATGGTTCGATGTTATACAAGGTTCGATGAGCAACAACATTGTGTGATCCGTTCGCGGGCACATGATCAATTGCCTTCTGCGATCCTTTCGCGGGCACATGATCAATTGCCTTGTGGATTCTCTGCTAAGAACGGATTTGTCGCAGATCGGTCGCTCGATGCCGCTGCTTCCAACATTTGGAGATTGATGATCTGGTCGGCGAGCGACCGGTCTATCGAACTTATTGATAGTCTTCGACAGAACACTCGATTGGTCAGGAGATCAACCAGGATCAACTGTTTGATCGGGTGCTCGGTTGGCGGTTGGTGTGCTGGTTGATCAACCAGCCCAGCAACCGCCAACAGAGCACCCGATCAAACAGTTGATCATGGTAGATCTCCTGACCAATCGACTGTTCGCTCGCCGACGGGTTGATCACGCACACGCACACGCAGACGCACAGACGCACGCACACGCACAGCGCCTGCAGGAACACATAACAGGTCATGGTGGTAAAACAGCACTCGCACGCACACACACACACACACAAACACGCACATCGCCGCGGTTTTGATGTTGCCATTGAGACAAGCGAAACACACACGCGGTGACAACGTCGGGATAGCACACACGATCAATCGACCGATCGCGAGTAATCTGTTAGCGTTTCGCGATTGGTCGGATGAATGCGTTTGCGATCCCGATGTTGTCTCCTCGTGCACTGATTAATCATCCATTAGGCGGATCAGGGGCGATATTGTTGCGACAACAAACATCATCAATCACCCGATCGCGAGTGGTCGGCTTATGTTTCGTGATGGGTCGGTTCATCGCGTGTATGTTCTAGACATTGTCACCACGTGTTCGAGCGGAGCTTTCTCTGTTGATCGGTTGAATGCAGCAGAAGCTCGCACACTCTCACGCACACACAAAAAAGAAAAACACACACGCGGTGATAACGTCGGCACGCCAGACCTGATCATGTTTCGCGATTGGTCGACGGATGCGTTCGCTGTGTCGACATTGCCACCGCGTGTTTTGATCGATCATCCATTGGGCAGATCGGAGGATATGACATTGGGACAGCACAAAGGATCATATCAAGTGTGGTCAGTGCTCAAGATGTGATTGTTTTTCGTGATTGGCCACCGCGTGTTCGATACGACCTTTCATGATTTGCGAGTCGAGCAGCTCAGGAGCACACCGGAATACAGTTCTGCGTGAAAACCTGCGCAATCGTTGGGTATTTTGCACCTCTCAACCCCGATTGCAGCAGAAGCAGAGTGGAAGTGCAAAACATGTCAATCATCCCAGACCACACACCTTCGCGCGCATCTCCGCGGGTTCAATGTGCTCAATCACACATACACCCGCAAAAATATGCACAGACAGGCACACGCATCCACACACACACACGCGCCCGCACACGCCGCCCACACACACACACGCCCCTCAGATCCTGACACGCGCACGATCCTACCTCGCGCATGTGACATACACGTCATACAACCACACACACAATAAAGCACGCACTCGAATACGCACACACAAAAATAGTCACACAGACACACACGCGCACGCACAAACACACACTAGCACACAAACACACACACACACACATCCACCCGCACACACGCAAACACGAACTCTTTCAATCTCTGCGAGCATATCATCAAAAAACCCACCCGCATGCGCACACAAACACACACACGTCACGACTGCGGGCGCACTCACCGTGTGATACTGTCGAGTGGAGATTTGCGCGATCCCCGCCATCAATTGAGATAGCACTCTGTCGACCTTTTGGCTTGTGCTTTTTGTTCGCGAGTGTGCTGAGTGGAGTGCTTTGTGTTTGCGAGGGTAGTGCGTAAAGTGGTAGGCGCAGGAAATGTCGACACGAGACATTGAATATGACGTGGATAGCGACTTCGAAGGTGGAGGTAGATGCGAGGGCATGCGGGGTGCGTCAGTGCCAGGAAACGAGCGCGGTGAGGAATGGTTGTCCCTACTCTTTGCCAGCTATGGCGCTCCGGCTGTGCGGAGTGGTGTTGTTGACGACAGTGGCGGTGCGAGGCTTCCGTCGGGCAGCATCTCCCCAGCAAAAACGCAGAACGCATCGTTAATGCCCAGGGCGCCACTCGTACTTGTAGGCGCGCGGGACTCGAGGCCCCCTCGGGCCTTCCGTTTCGGAATTTTGCGCAGGGTCCGTACGCCACCACACGACTGTTCGATCGCCGCATCGAACGGTAGCTGCGCGTCGAAATTTCCCCGACGGGGACCTGGTGAGCGCGACATGACAAAAAAGTACCTGTGAGTTAGCCCTTCCCGGGCGTCATTAAAAAATAGAGCCCTTGTTCCTGGCCACTCGCGCTCGTGTCGTCGGGTTCGCGGGCCCCGCTCGAGGGGGTCTTAGGTAGCGCGGGGGGGCAGCTTGTATTTTCCAGTCCGCTGGTG